CCCCCCGTCGTTCCGTTTCAAACAAATAAAACAAAACAAAAAATTAAACGGTTTTGGTCTGTGTATTTAAGACGGCTTACAGCACAAGCCACTTACCCGCCAGAGTAAGTGATTGTGGGGACGAAAATACGGAGGGAGCTTGGGGTGAGGTCGCCGACGGCAGGCGGTTTTCGCGTCCCTAAAAAATGAGTCATTGCTCGACAACTATATACAGAAAGAAATGTCAACCAGGCTTATGTTACACTTCGCCCCGATATAAATCGCAGGTCTATCCGGTCTAACAAGGGAACCTTTTCAGGTGTAAATATCCGATTTTGTTGAAACTTGGAAAATTTGATGATCATGTATGTAGAAATCATATGGCATTTGAAATTTTCCTAAACCTCACAATTAGTTTTCCCCTATATAGGATAGGAGTAAGATTTTTGAAAAAGATATAATTTTTGAAAATTGTAAAGCAGTATTCTAATGGGTAACTCGTCAAAATAGCGTCCTTTCGACCAAAATTTTGTCCGTTCTGCTCTATTTTGAACCGTTAGAAGGATATTTGGGACAAAAAGCAGTGTAAGGCTTAAGTAAACCCCTGGTACCTGTGAGGTTTAGGAGAAATTTCAAGTAGGTGCCATCCGACTTCTATTATAATAAACTTTAAATTTTCCGAGTTTCAACGAAATCGGAGATTTACACCTGAAAAGGTTCCCTTGTAAGTTTGTGTTACCAGCAGCAGCAGACGTCGATCGGTTTGCCTCGAGGTAAAGGTTCAAAAAGATGTCTATTAGGTTTTTGTATCCATGCCCGCTGAGTTCTATAAGTGTAGCTTCCTAGTAGACGCGGTTACTTCCGGTAACCCATAAATGAACTTTGAAATTTCGCGGTTTTGTTCCCGCGACGCTGTTTTCTCACCCAGCCCAGGGGGCGGGCCCCAACCCCTCCACCGCGCCCTGAGCCGTTGAGCCCCGTGTACCTGTGGGACGCGCCGTGGACGGAAACACGCGGGCTGAGTGGTCTTATAGTC